CAATTTAATTTGCAAGGTCTCTCTCTCTTCTTTACCTTAAGAGGGTAAAGGAAAAAGTTTTTCCTCTTCAACTGATATACTACAAATATTCTCCATTTACTAGATGAGTGTAATTTGTACTCCAAGACTTTTTTCAACAAATATATTTACAGAATGTGATTAGAAGTATTTCATTAAAAAACTGCAATGCTAAATTTCTATTGAACTAAATAATGTTTTTAATTTCCACCTGTAATTTGAGTATTTTACGGTAAACAACAAATTAATAATTATATGATGGTCTATTTTCCAGAAACTGAGAGTTAATTACTATAATGACTGGGCAACAAATCCTTTTTCATTCAGTTTATATTCAACTCTGCTTCATCCAGTTTATTTTTAAATGTTTTCAACAAAGGAAACTTGATCACTAAAAATAATTACTGACAATAAACCATTATGCAATTTTTGCCATATAGTTCATAATTCCTCCAAGAAATCAAGTTGACATGATAACAAATTTCCATCCATTCACATCCATGAGATGAGCTATATTAACAGATGTTCTCAGTGTATTCATATAAAACAGAAAAAAAGGGACAGTAATAATATCAATTTATCTCAGTAAGAAATGTTTATGTGTAATAAAATTTGTAATACATTTGATCAACTGTAGATAATAAATAAGGTAATGATAATTACAACCCAGTAATCTCAGTACCTCACATGACAGGAAACAAATAACACTTTAATTTCAATTTATATATGGAATTTGCAGAAGAAACTGATTAAAACATAAAGTAAAAATATTAGTAAAATACCAGTATGTGAAACAAATGTAAATATTCTATTGTATAACTGTGGGGTTGTTTTTTTTTTTTTTTTGACATGTAGAGTTATAGACAGACAAAAAGGTCTTCCTTCCGTTGGTTCACCCCCCCAAATGGCCTCTATAGCCAGTGTTGCGCCAATCTGAAGCCAGGAGCCAGGTGCTTCTCCTGGTCTCCCATGTGGGTGCAGGGCCCAAGCACCTGGGCCATCCTCCACTGCCCTCCCGGGCCACAGTAAAGAGCTGGACTGGAAGAGGAGCAACCGGGACTACAACCCGGCACCCACATGGGATGCTGGTGTTGCAGGCGGAGGATTAACCAAGTGAGCCACGGCACTGGCCCCTAACTATTATTTTTAAAAATAAATCACAATTAAGTATCAAACTAAAATCTCTATCCTAAAGATAAGCTAACCTTGACTAAGCTAGAGCTGAAAATAACCAGGCATTCTCACAAGCGGACAAGAATCACAACTGATTGGATAAGGTCTATTCCAGGGGTGAACTTTCCCCGAGAATAACCTGGCGCCCCTACACTGCTGAAGCTGGTTTGATGTGGGCTAAGCAGGGAGTTAGAGAGGAACAAAAGAGGTGAGAGGTTTCCACCAGTCTTAATGCTTTGAGCCTGCAAAACAGCAGAGACTGGCCCAACTGCTTGGACCCGAGCATCCACCATGGGAGATCTGGAAGAAGCTTCTGGTCCTGGTTTCTGATCGGCTCAGCTCTGGCCATGGAGGCCATTTGGGGAGTAAACCAGCACAGGGATGACCTCTCTCTGTGTGTCTCTACCTTTCTCTATAATTCTTTCAAATAAATAAAAACTCCACCCTCTTCCATGCCCATTCAGCACCTTCACTTTCCCATTCTGTACCTGAGCCTCCTCCATCATGCAAGACACCGCCATGTTAAGGAGAAAAAGAAGACACCACAATGAACACTGGATGTTGATGCAGCATGGAGACACCATGAAACCCTTCTAGAGGTCATCATGCAAACTCCACCCCATGTGCCCACTCACTGAAGGCACACGTGCGTTACTCATGGCGCCGTGAGTCTCCTCATGGGGCTGCTGGCGAGCATGTCTGAGCGGGCACCATCTCTTCACCCTCTTAAAAGAAATCCTGCTCAAATCCTTGCACTTTGTGTCTCTGCTTTGCCTTCACCTCTTACGGGGAGACAAGTAGCTTGGAGTAAGTATGGCTGGGGATCCCAATCCCCACAATAGGTTATTGGATTCATCTTTCTGATGTAGAAAGCCCCAAACCCCCTAACTCTAATACTAAATATCCATCCCCCACTGAACAAGGGATGCATGATAACGTAGTGAGCATATGTGCCTGTCCTCTTTTAATTAGGGACAATTCTTCCCAGAACATCAACAAAACTTAATGAGTATGTATGATTTCCCTGAAAACAAACTCTGTTAAGACTGGTAACACTTCTTTACACAGGGAACCAGGTATCTCATCACACGATCCCTTGTTACTGACTTGTACAACCCATTAAAATTCCTTCCTATTGACAGCTTAAATCATTCTTGTTTCCACTGGCATACATGCAGGACAAGAGCTCTCAGATATGCTGCCTGATTACAAAACTGTTTCTCATTCAGGCTATCTGGATATATTTAGTAGAAACATTTAGCCATTTGCTTTAAAATACAAGCATTTAAAATATACTTCTGGAAAGGATATTGTTGATAATTATTCAAATGTAAGATGAAACATTTCAGCTACAAACACAAAAATATCATGAGGTAATACAGTTTATAAAACTCTTTTAAGGGGAACACTAGCACAAAACATTCTAAGACCACAGTAACATTCAAACCTCCACTTCTCCAGATTTTGCTTGTTAGATTTGGACTGTTCATAGATTTGAAGAATTCAGACTGTCAGCCTCTCACAGAAGGGTATCAGTACTAAAGGTATATTTTGTTCTAAAATATCAATCAAAAATACAGTACTCATTTTTACAAACAGGAGAAAAGTGAAGGGTTTTTAAAAATTTTGTAAAAGATGTCATAAAATACAAACTATCAAATCAATTCAGAATTATCCAGTAACAATCGTAATTATGATACATGACTGAATCAAAGTGTAACCATAATGAATATATCTTCCTTTTCACATTCTAACCTTGTGACAAGCCAACAATTACAACTGCAATTGTAAAAGAGAGAGAGAGAGAGAGAGAGAGAGAGAGAAAGGAAAAAAAGTACATTTTCCATTCCCTTTCACACAAAAGATAGCTGCTAATCTTGTGGCTGATCAAAACGTTTGCTCAAGCGGATGCAGACCTAATAATTACAGGAGCTGATTGCAGGGAGATGGCTAGAACAGTAGATTCTAGATTAGGGAAGAATTTACAACCAGCAAAACACAGCCAAACTTAAGTGGTGTCAGCACAGACCCTAGAAACCTGTTGGACAATTTCCTCCAACTCCCTTTTTGGTTTATAGTCCTCCTGTTAACCTGCAAATTGGAAACAGCATACCTGGGACTAAAGAAGTCCACTCTTCTCTCAAATGGCCTCTTGAATAAACCTGGTTCCCTTGAATCAACCCCTTTGAAACTGAGCCCTCAACAGTGCCTTACACTCTCCCTCCTTTGGAGTGCCCCTGCCCTGCCTTCTGCTCACACTAAAATTAACTCAGTGAATCCAGCCCTGTGAGGTTCTAATCACCAGATGCACGAGGTCACACCCTGATGACTGGTAATATCTTGAGGGGTTTTGTTAGGGGACTTCCAGGCCCGGGCAGGGGAATTCTAGGCCCAGGACACAAAGTACTGGGCTTCATAAAAATTCCCTGAAATGTACAGCACTGCTGACCAGGTGGGACCTGGACACCAGCTGAACACACAACCAGACCAAATAACCACTGTGACTCCAACCAGGCCCTACTGCGCAGCTCCCCTCATTCCTCACTCTCCTTTCCCTGGTGCCTTCGTAGAAGCCCCAAAGCACCCTCATCCAGCAGGACAGCAGTTCTGGAGACACGGAAGTCTGCTACCTCCTCACCCACTGAGAGATTACATCTTCTTTCCTTTACCCTCCAACACTGTCCTCCGTATTTTGATTCGGCACTGGAGACAGGGACCAAGCTTTCAGTAACATCATCTCTTGGTGCCTTGGCTGTCCAGTGTCATGTAGCCCAGACCTAATTTTCACCAGTAACAAGAGCTAATATTACAGAAACTGTGGGGATTTGTTTCCTACACTGAGGGACTTAATTAAAGTACCTGAGAATGCATAGCTGGTAGTAAAATTATTGGCTACACTCATCGATACAGTTCTAACAGCACAATCTGCTGTAAACAGTGTTCCTGTGAACTAAATCTCAAGGTTTACTAAAACAAGGACTGAATCTTTCATGGCCATCAGGCTTACTTCAGCAATCTGTAGCACTGGCTAGTTAGTGAGGCTACTAAAATACAGCCTCTCAATTAAAAAAGTAAAATCACTGAAAAATTCTTACTAAAGTATTTTAAATACTATTGAAATAATCTCAATTAGAAACATTTCTTTATTACCTACAGATAAGAAAGTACAGCATCTAAGAGGTGAGCTTGTATTGATTTAAATAGACAAAGAAGGAATGCATTTTAGTAAAAGGAAAGAAGATGGATGATTGATAGTTCTTGGGAAAAGGTTAAAAATTCAAAAGGAGTGACTTCACGTGGCTCAGAACTTAAAAGCTTTTTTTTTCTTCTCAACAGAAAAGCAGTTTCAAGTAATAACAGGTTGCCATGGAGATGAGAAGCTAGAGAGATCAGAGAACTCAATTTGCAGTTAAATGGGCTGGAAACAATCCTTACTACTTGGTAAGGAAAGAGATTAAAAATATACTTGATTGCCAGAGGGAATCTTTTTCACCTAGCTATTTCTCAACCTCATTAATGAACAAAGAAGTACATAAAAAAAATGAAAACCCAAGGTATCCATAGATTGAACCCATTAAACGTAATTCAAAATTTTAAAATTATCATACATCCTTCCTATTCTGGGTGACTACGCTTCTTTTCAATATTTACTTGCCAGTAAATATCAGAATTAGACTAAATCATGTTCAAGAACAAACTGGTATAACTGAGAGAAATGGAACTTCAGGGACAAAAAAGCACAGCAAATAGAAGAGTAACGACAGTTAGGCAAGCAGGTTCTAGAAACCTTCCCCGGCAGTCAGGAGTACCTTTGTGGGTGCTGTACAGGGCTGCGAAGGTCACCGTGAAGAAGGTTGTGGAGTACTTGCCGGCATTCACTAAGTGAGGAAAGGCCCTCCTTGTGTCTCGGTATCGGCGCAGGCACTGGATGAAGCGAAGCCAAGCAGGAATGCACTGAACAATGGCTCGCACCCCGTATGTGTATTTGTGGCAAACTTCTGGTTCTGTGAAGATTTCAAAGAAAAAAATTACAGTTTAAAAAAAAAAAAAAAAAACCTCGTTCATATAATTGAGCTACATAGTATAACCACTAGCACGTCCAAAAAAGGTAAAGGCCCCCTTTGCGACCGCTACATTTCCAAGCTTCTGGTGGCTGCTAGGTCAAGGAGGGAGGGCCCTCTCAGATTTCTGGGTGTCTGTCCCGGATCCCTTCTTTGGAGTGTGCAAAAACTACAAGGAAATCAGAAAATGCTTGTATAAATCAAAGAGGAAAACAAGTTACCAACGGTGACTCCAGACAATTTCAGGAATTCCAAGACACTAAAACACACTACCCCTCTGATCCTCCTTTACTTTAAACTAAGAATGGACTTTGTGTTTCTTAATAACAGGAATGGAGCTGGTGAATGAGTTTTTCTTTGAATTCTGGTTAGATACTACAATGCAAGTAACCTACAACAGCGTGTGAGCCACTGTCAACCAATGAAAATGTGTCAGCCTTGGCTTCATCCTTGACTTTGGTAAGTCAAACTGTATGTGATTCAGCTAAATTAGGTCTTTGTGATGATAGTAAAACAGAATCAGAGAAAAACAAAATCTCAAATAAGAATTAAAAAGTAATCTAGGGGCCAGCATTATGGCACAGTGAGTAAAGCCACTGCTTATGATGCCAGCATCCCATAGGGGTACAAGTTCGTGTCCCAGCTGCTCCACTTGAGATCCAGCTGCCTGCCAATGGCCTGGGAAAAGCAGCAGACAATAGCCCATATGCTTGGACCCCTGAGATCCACATGGGAGACCTGGAGGAGGCTCCTGGCTCCTGGCTCCTGGCTCCGTATGGCCTGGCCCAACCCCAGCCATTGCAGCCCTCATTTGGGGAGTGAACCAGAAAATGGAAGACCTCTCTGTCTCTCCCTCCCTCTCTCTATAGCTCTGAGGTTCAAATAAATAAATAAATCTTAAAAAAAAAGTAATCTATACTGACTTTCTCAAAGAACTTCATCTAATTCTAAAAAATTAGTATTTTGATAATGTTATAACTTCATAACATTATAGAACAAAACTGTGATGACAAAACACTGGAATGAAAAGCATTTGTGATATAACTGCCACCTGAAAAACAGTTTTAGAATTCTTTAAATATTTTTAAATATTTTTTTTAAATATTTTTTTTTATTATTTTTTTTTTATTTATTTATTTTTTTTGACAGGCAGAGTGGACAGTGAGAGAGAGAGACAGAGAGAAAGGTCTTCCTTTCCCGTTGGTTCACCTTCCAATGGCCGCCGCTGCAGCCGGCGCACCGCGCTGATCCGATGGCAGGAGCCAGGATCCAGGTGCTTTTCCTGGTCTCCCATGGGGTGCAGGGCCCAAGCACCTGGGCCATCCTCCACTGCACTCCCTGGCCATAGCAGAGAGCTGACCTGGAAGAGGGGCAACTGGGACAGAATCCGGCGCCCTGACCGGGACTAGAACCCGGTGTGCCGGCGCCGCAAGGTGGAGGATTAGCCTAGTGAGCCACGGCGCCGGCTAGTTTTAGAATTCTTTAAGCCTAAGTTATAAATCTTTTGGCAAATGGATGGCTAAAATCATAACACATAATTTAAAACCCAAATTATTTCAGATAAAAAGAATTCTAACACAAAGCCAAGTACATTTAATTAAGTTTATAATATTATAGGGAGAGCTTTCACCATGACCTTATTAACTTTCTCAGTTATCATTTCAGTATTTCTTAGTTTATGGTGGCAAATTTGTATCCTACCTTTTGTATCATTTGGCAACAGGCCCATACTTTTATCCCATTTGAGCTCAAAACTGTAGAAGCAGATCATATACTCCAGGTCCATCAGTATCACTGACAGGCTATTCAGCTGATCAGCCAGCCAGAAATCAGCAAAGCCTACTTTATGGAACGGGGCTGTAAATACTCGAAACTGGGAGGGGAAAAAAAATCAGAAAAGTTAGAAACAAGAAAAGTCAAATTAAATTTGCTAACTTATGTCTCAGAATTCAACATGATTGCTTTAGTTGATAAAATAGAAATCACTGAACCAACCACAGACCAACACAGAGACCTGGCAACAGTGGCTTGGCTGAGAACTAGTAGTTATGTATAGAAGGGATAACTAGGGAAAGTAACAATGTCTAAGAAAGGTCAACCATGGAAAGGGGAAGGGAAGGCAGAAACAGCCATAATTAAAAAACAGAAAGCAAAGAGGTGGGGAGAATTTAAGTGAAAAGCAGGGAGACTGTGTAAAAGGTTAAGTACTAAGACAAAGTCTAACATTTAAGCTCTTAAATAAATTTTGCTGGACAGGCAAGTGCCATAATAATTTCTAGAATGTTTTTCCATCTTGGCTAACTGGATACAAAACTCATCTTTGCCTACAAAGAAGGGAAAGCTGGCATGCTCTCTAAGGCACATCTGATTGTCTAAGCAAGTCACTTGCATTTCACTAATGCCATGGTGATGACTATGTTCATCTTGAAACGGTACCACAAGAATCAGCCCTCTTTCTCATTGTTCTGAGGACAATGATAAATGTTTTAAGGCTCAATGTACTGAGCATTTACCCAGAGTTTTCTTTCCTCAGTGCTTATGCATGTATTAACTCAATCCTCCTAACAATTCTATGAGCTAGATACTATGTGTGTATGTGTATGTGTGTCCATTTTATAGAAAACCTACACAAACTCAGCCCAAGAGAATTTGTGAAACCCTGTTTACCACTGCAGTGAACAATCCTGGCATTACACAGAAGGAAGCTCTAGATACTAATATAATCATCAGAAATAGGCTCAAACTGGGCAGACTACCTTGACAAGGCTTTATATGAAGTAAAGATGGAGGAAGGTAGCTTTAATCCTCATTCTCTCAGGCTCCTTCTATCTTATACAAAAGAAAACAGACTCTAGAAACAAGAAATTCTGACTAACTAGCAGGTTTGAGAAATTAAGTCTAAATATCTAGCTTCATGGCCATCTAGCTAAATAAGTAGACATATTCAGCTTGGGAGTCTATGGCTGTCTCTCTTAGACATGGCTAGTTCTTTCTATTCTTTCTCTAGATATTTCCAATATTTCAGGAAGATAAATGGCTATGTTATAAATCAATTCTCAGTGCCAACTATTGATGACAGATGCTACCATGGAACACTGAAAGGTATACTAGTGTCCACAGGATATAATCCAAGTGTTGAGAAGTTATTTTCTGGATCTGATGTGTTTCAGTTGCATCGCTCAGTCTCCTGGTCAGTCCCATACTCTGAGTAAGCCCAATAGACCAGACAGACAAGCTGTATCTTTTGCAACCACAAGCTACAGATACAGCAAACTGCTTGGGCCAGGCTGATCTTAGTTACTCATGCATGCAAAGGTTCTGTCAAATCTCATATTTTAAGAAACTCTAGGGTGCAGAATGAACTTAAAGCATTCATAGAGACAGAGACAAGAGGACAACTTAGAATGTGATACCAAAGGACCAAGAACTAACTCAATCTCCAATCACAGACTTCTGTAAAGTTGGTAGCCTAGGGCAAATTTCTTCTAATTTTCAATTGGCATTGAACTACTCTTATTTCTTCACTCTGCCAACTCCATCCTTAAAACCAGGCTGATACAGAAAATCTCTGTAAGAGCTGAAGAGGAAGATAATGCATTAAATAGGAAGAAAGGATGTGACTGGGAAAGGGAACGGAATGAAAATAAAAAGGAAAAGAAAGTTTACAGAAAGGAGAAGATGAAAACAGAGAAGTAAATCTTGTCATGTGTAACAAAAAAGTTCCTGGAAAACGGAATTAAAAGATAAGGGTTTTTTTGTTTGGTGCAAGAAACATTAAAATCTAAGCAGTTTTTTCCTAAATCCCATTTTCCATAAACTTTTTGAAGACTAATGAAGGAACAAATATAATTATAATCACTCATGCATTTAACAAAGATTTATTATTCACTATATATCTGTGGAGGTACAGAAATAAAATGTCAATACTCTTAAAAACCTATATCTAGTTGGCCAAATAAATACCTAAAGATATAATTTTAATCACATACGGTAAGTGCTACTATAATGATACATATAAAATACTTTGGAAATACAGAAAAGGGAACAAAGCAGCCTTATCAGAGGTAGAATAAGAGGCAAAAAACAAACATATCACACTTAATTTTCTGATATTTACACACAGTCAAATTTACTTTAGATTTATCTGAATCCCCCCGCTGCGTGAAAACCCTCTAAATCACTCTTCTGTCCTCCTGTTTTAATCTGGCTAATACATTTCCAATTCTACATTTCTATCTTGTGATTTTAATTAAAATGGTAATAACTCTTGAAGTAATAGCATTATAATAGCTAGAAACAATTTCTGGATATCTGATGTTTTATCACATACACAAAACAAGCCACTATTACATTACTACAGGTTTTTTTTTTTTCCCCTTAATTTTTCATTTTATTTGAAAGGCAGAGAAACAGACAAACATCTTCCATCCACTGGTTCACTCCCCAAATGACCACAATGCCTGGAACTGTGTCAAACTGAAGTCAGGAGCCTGGAACTCAATCCAGGTCTCCTATGTGAGTGGCTGGGACCCAGGTAACTTGAGCCATCACATGCTGCCCCCCATGGTGCACATTAGTAGGAAGCTGGACTCAGAAGTAGAGCTGGGACTCAAATCCAGGCACTCTGATATGGGACCTGAGCACCCCAATTGATGTCTTAACTACCGTGCTAAACACCTGCCCCTGCAGTACATACAGGTCCAGTGTCCCTAAATCCAAAATGTTGGGATCAGAAGTGTTCCAAATTTCAAATTTTGTAATAATTACATATATGTAATGAGATATCTTGGGGTTAGGAATGAAAATTAAACACAAAATTCATTTATGCATTTTATATACACAGCCTGAAAGTAATTTTACACAACAGTTTTAATGCACCTGTTTTTTGACTGTGACCCATCATATTAGGTATGGTGTGGAATTTCCAACTCTGGTGTCAAGTCAGCACTCAAAAATTTGGGGATTTTGAACATTTCAGATTTTGGATTAGAGATGCCAGATCTGTACAAAGAATACAGATAAATAGCTAAGAAGAGGAAGTTTTAAATTCTACTGTTTAGAAGCCTATGAATAAACATATTCTTTCCAAATTTGATTTTTATATAACATTATGTTGATCTACAACATCAAAGTTAGAGATTTTAAAAGAGTGAGTAACAGGTCTAACTGTTAAACAGAAATAATTAAAAGTACAGATTATGGAGCCAGGCTACATGTGATCATATCCCATCTCTGTAACTTATTGGCTATATGACCTTAAGCAAATTATTTATGCCTATCTGAAGATAGGTATCTCATTCATAAAACAAGGACTGAAAGAAGTTCCAATATTATGGGTTATTAAATAAATTATAAAGTGCATTGTTAAATGAGAACACGTCTCTATTTTTTATAAGTAAGATTAACTTATTTATTTGAAAGACAGATGGAGAGAGAGGGACAGATACAGAGATCTTTTATCTGCTGGTTTACTTCCCAAATGACTACAACAGCCACGTCTGGGCCATGCCAAAGCCAGGAGCCAAGAACTTCATCCTGTTCTCCCATATGGATGGCAGAGGCCCAAGTACTTGGGCCATCTTTCGTTGCATTTCCAGGCACATTATTAGGAAGATGGATTGAAAGTGGAGTAGCCTGTAATCCTCCGCCTTGCGGCTTGCGGGTTCTAGTCCCGGTTGGGGCAACGATTCTGTCCCGGTTGCCCCTTTTCCAGGCCAGCTCCCTGCTGTGGCCCAGGAGGGCAGTGGAGGATGGCCCAAGTGCTTGGGCCCTGCACCCCATGGGAGACCAGGAGAAGCACCTGGCTCCTGCCTTCGGATCGGCGCGGTGCACCAGCTGCAGCACGCTGGCCGCAGCGGCCATTGGAGGGTGAACCAACGGCAAAGGAAGACCTTTCTCTCTGTCTCTTTCTCTCACTGTCCACTCTGCCTAAAAAAAAATAAAATAAAATAAAATAAAAAGTGGAGTAGCCTGGACTCAAACCTGTAATTCAATATGGCATGCCACAGGGGCAAGCAGGGGTTTAAACCACTGTACTGAAATGCTGGCCCCACTTCTCCTGTATTCTTAGAACAGAAAGGTATAAAACTTTTACTATAAAACTAAGGAAAATATTGGTTAAAAACTGGTTTCTAAATAACTAAGTAAAAGATTCTAATTTTAAAAGCTTAAGTACCCCATTTTTAAGAATAATCTAGAAATTTTGATTAGAAAATTTAAGGCACTCTTGATACTTCCCATCAGGATTTTCAACTGAGGCAACACAGATTGGTAAGAGGCCAACCGACCTAATGAATCCTGACAGAATATTGATATCAAAATAAATCAGTTTTTATAAAAAATACTATGTTTTTGTTTGGGGGAAGAAAGGTAGCATGTATCAATTCAATAGATTCCAATATAAATAAGGATATAGACAATATTTAATGCCTACCACTACAGCCAAGGATATATGTGCTTTTTGCACTGAAATTTGAGGTAGGAGGAAATGCAGTTTTATGTAAGGAGGAGGCTTTAAAAAACTGTGTCAGAGGTGCAGGCATTTGGCTGAGCAGTTAGGATGCTTGTGTTCTAAACTAGAATGCTCAGGCTCACGTCCTGGCTCTAGTTCCCTGCACAAAATCTGGGAGGCTGTGCTGACGGCTTAAGTAATTGAGTTCCTGTCACCATGTGGGAGGCATGTGGGGAGGATTGTGTTTCTGGCTCCTAGATTCCACCCAGCCCAGCTGTGAAACCGGTAGATGGGAGTTTTCTCACTCATTCTCATCTCTCTGTCTCTTGAAACATATATAACATATATATATATATGTATATACACACACACAAACACAAATATATATATATGTGTGTATATATATATATAAATGCTATCAGACAAACTTAACTAGAGCAGAAACATTCTTAATTCACTAGAAATAAATCTAAGGGCAAGTTTTTGCAGTGAGATTTTAATTAAAGTCTATAACAGTTCAACTAATATGAAATTGTCTCTAAATGATCACATTTTGCTTGTTTATAACTATTATTACACATCATAATGCTTCTTTACTTCACTGCTTCTGATAGTGCATTATTCTATTATTCCTGCCTGTATCATTTTTGCCAGCCTAGCTCATCAACAAGTCTTTATCTATTTTTTTAAAGATTATTTGAAAGTCAGAGTTACACAGAAAGAGGAGAGGCAGAGAGAGAGAGAGAGAGGTCTTCCATCCTATGGTTCACCCCCAGATGGCAGCAATGCGTAGGAGCTGCGCCAATCCAAAGCCAGGAGCCAGGAGCTTCCTCCAGGTCTCCCACGTGGGTGCAGGGGCCCAAGGACTTGGGCCATCCTCCACTGCTTTCCCAGGTCATAGCAGAGAGCTGGCTCAGAAGTGGAGCAGCCAGGACTCGAACCGGCACCCATATGGGATGCCAGCATTTCAGGCCAGGGCGTTAACCCACTGCACCACTGCGCTGGCGCCAACAAGTCTTTACCTATTAACAATACACAGCAGATGCACAGATATATTTCTACTCACTGGGGAATCATTGTGCTAATGAGTAACTGATCACGCATGAATCACAGCTTGCTATTTAAACAAAGGATGCACTGGGGAAATGCTCATTTAGCACACACGTACACAACTACATTATCCTGTAATGATCTAATGATCATGCTAATATCTGAATTTTCTTCTCAGTCTTCTAAAATCTGCTTTACAAATAACTTTTCTAAATGTTTCACATTAATTGTGGAAGAAAACAATAGCTATTTATAATCTTAAAGATATTTCCTTAGGGTCTGAAGAATACTCTATTTTCATGCAAATAACATGGTCATAAAACAAATCCAGTAATAAAATGACCTATACTATCAAATAAGAAAAGTAATCTAATACTGTAACTGGCAATGCTTTTTTTTTTTTTTTTCAGTATAAACCTCAAGAGAGAAACAATGGCTCAAATATTCCTTCTGTCTTCAAAAACAACTTCCTTCTAAAAGGCAAGGTGATGACAAACATTTTAAAGGGGGTGGTTTCCTTATGACTGATGAAAACACTCTTGCTCATTTAAGTTCAGAAGTCAAACCCCAAGTTAGGTCTAGTGGTGCTACACTTAAAGGGAGCATACATGTTTGCTCATTTGTTTATTTTGTTTTTTCTCTTTCCCAAATGAAATTGGAAGAGGTAAAGCGTCGCTCCCCGTCTTCGTGGAGGAACGACACAGGACCCTGCGCTGTTCTTTTGTCTGCTCGGCCCTCCCCAGGTTTGCTGCTGGTTCTTCCCGGGTTGGCTACCGTCCCTTCCACCTCCGTGGAAGGGCGGTTCCCCCTGCCACTTTCCCCACTTCCGCGGGGGAGCGGCACTCCGCCGGCCGGCTCTCTTGGGGGCTGCACAGGTGTTCCTTCAGATAGATGTTCCTCTTAGATGTTCCTGGTGCATGTTGTCTCTCTCCTCCTTTATAGTCCTCTTCCACCAATCCCAACTCTGCTACCCACACGCCGAGTACGCTGCTCTCCTCCAATCAGGAGTAGGTCCTACAGTTTATTGGTTGAACTGGAGGCAGCTGTGTAGAAGCTGTTTCTCCCTTCTCAGCGCCATATTGTGGGAGAGCAGATGCATAGAATAAGTCTTAATTCCAGCAACAGTCTAGTCCGAGTTGCTCCCCACAGTAAAGTCTTAATTTTTTAATAAAAATCTTGGTGTCAGGTGAGATTCTTACAAAAAATAGAAACCAGGGCCCGGCTTTGTGGCACAGTGGGTAAAGCCACTGCCTGCAATGCCAGAATCCCATATGGGCGCTTGTTCAAGCCCTCACTGCTCCACTTCCAATCCAGCTTCCTGCTAATATGCCTGGGAAAGCAGTGGAAGATGACCCAAATACGTGGGCCCCTGCAACCACATAAGAGACTCAGATGACGCTCTTGGCTCCTGACTTTGGCCTGGCCCTGCAGCTGGCTATTACGGCCATCTGCTGAGTGAACCAGCAGATAGAAGATCTCTCTCTGTTTCTCCCATTCTCTCTGTAACTCTGACTTGGAAAATAAATAACTCTTTAAAAAAAAAAAGAAAGAAAGAAAGAAACACAAAATTCAATCAACTTAAGAAAAGTCATAGAGATTTGGATCATTTTATTTTCTTTGTTAAAAAATTATTTATTTCATTTATTTTTCATTTCTTGGAAAGGAAGAGTGATAGAAAGAGCAATCAATCTCCCATGTTCTAGTTCACTTCCCATGTGTTCCCAACAGCCAGAGGTAGGCCAAGTCAAAGTCAGGAGTCTGGAATGCCACCTAGGTCTCCCATGACAGTTTCAGGGACAAAAGCACTTGACCCCATCAGCTGCTGCCTTTCAGGGTGTACATTAGCAGGAAGCTAGATGGGCAGCAGAGACAGGACCTGGCACTTAGCAGTGGTGGCAAGCGGTGGCTTAACCTGTTGTGCCACAACACCTACCCTTATTTTCTTTTCTTGACTGTTATAAATACTAACCTGTGCTGGGACATAAAATACCCTTTATTTGCTGAGTTCTTACTATACTTTTTTTTAATAGGAAAGCCATATTTTAAATCTTTAGATTAAAAAAGGATTGTCATGTATTACTGAAAAAAAAAAACCTACTAATCCTTTTTTTGAATTTATTTATTTATTTGAAATGAAGAGTTACACAGAGAGAAGGTGAGGAATAGAGAGAAAGAGGTCTTCCATCTGCTGGTTCACTGGTTCAGCTGAGCCGAAGCCAGGAGCCAGGAGCTTCTTCCAGGTCTCCTGCACATGGGTGCCGGGGCCCAAGGACTTGGGCCATCTTCTACTGCTTTCCCAGGACATAGCAGAGAGCTGGATAGGAAGAGGAGCAGCCGGGACTAGAACCGGTGCCCATATTGGATGCCAGCACTGTAGGCTAGGGCTTTGACCCATTACGCCACAGCGCCAGCCCCTGGCTGCTCCACTTGTAATCCAGCTCCCTGCTATTTCATCTGGAAAAGCAGCAGAAGACAGCCCAAGTCCTTGGCCTCCTGCATCCACGTGGGAGACCCCAAGGAAGCTCCTGGCTCCTGGCTTCAGTCTGGCCCAATCCTGGCGGTTGAGCCCATCTGTAAGATGAACCAGCAGGTGGAAGACTTCTCTCTCTCTGTTTCTCCCTTTTTCTCTGTAACTCTGACTTTTAAATAAATAAAATAAATCTTTAAAAAAATTTTTTAAAAGGACAATGAAATAAAACTACAGTTTCAAGGAGGTGTACTTACATGATGGAAAAAAACCAGAAAATTAACTGTGGCAATTCTGAAAAGTTTATATGGAGACTGAGCAATTAAATCACTGATCTTTATTGTTAGCTATAATTCATAATCTTAAAATTTTCTGAACACAGGTGCCAGCACTGTTGTGCAGTAGGTTAAGCATCCGCCTGCAGCACCAGCATCCCATATGGGCACTGGTTCGAGTCCCCGCTGATGGCCTGGGAAAGAGTAGAAGATGCTCAAATCCCTGGGCCCTGCACCCTTGTAGCACACCCAGAAGAAGCTCCTGAATCCTGAAGGTTTCAGATCGGCCCAGTTCCAGCCGGTGCAGCCATTTGGGGAGTGAACCAGCAGATGGAATAACTCTTTCTCTGTCTTTCCCTCTCTCTGTCTGTAACTCTGCCTCTCAATAAATAAATAAATCTTAAAAAAAAAATCATGAGTGCATTCTCAGTTGATTTCCAACATGGGGCCGGCTTAACTTATGAGCAGACAGAAAAGCCCTCCCAGAAAAATCTTAAAACAATAACAAGAGACTGACATTGTGGCACAGCAGGTTAAGCCGCCACCTTCGACACTGGAATCCCTTCTCAGAGCCAGTTAGTATCCTGGTTGCTCCACTCCTGACTCAGCTCCATGATAACACAGCTGGGAAATATCGGAAGATAGCTGGGCCGTGCCACTCACATGGGAGACCCACAGAGACCCAGGGAAGCTCCTGGCTTGCAACTGGCCTGCCCTCAACTGCCCCGGCCATTTGGGGAGTGAACCAGCAGACAGAAAAGATTTCTTTCTCTCTCTGTCTCTCTCGCCTTCTCTCCCTCCTCTTCTCCCTCTCCTCGCTTTCTCCCTGTCACTCTACCTTTCAAAGAAAAAAATCTTAAAAAAAAAAAAAAAAAACAAAAGATATGGCTATCATTTTCGCAGCTATATCTTACTGCTGATTCTGAATAATCCTGAGATCATTAAGAAACAAGTTAAAATAGAAGAAAAAAGGGAAATTATAATAAGAAAAAATCAAAGTCAGTTTCTCAAATTTGGTTATCTGGCAGGGTATTCCTACCACTTTGAAAGAACCAGTCTTTCTTAAAATATTTAGTTGACTAGCACTAATTTAACAGGAAATAGAAACAGTTTCACCACTTTAAAAAAAAAAAACTACAAATCCGTATTTATCATAGCCAGTTAAATAATAGCATAATGAAGTAATAAATGATTATTCAATTTATAAAATCCTTCCAATATTTGGCCATTTCATACTCCATTTTAGGAGGGAAAGAAAGCAGGAACACTTTTCCCAGCTGCCCCACCCAACTGCAGGTGTATTCTTCCCAGTGTATTCTTAGTCCCTGGAGCTTCAGTGTGAACAGGGCCCTCAGAAGTTGTACAGCCAGCAGCCTTCATGTCATGTCAGAGGAAGCCAAATGACCAACAGTTTAAAAATGCTATACAAGTATCTCAACTTACCAGCAATTTGAGCAGCCAAAATCTGGATTTATAATAAAAAGTTTTGGTGGGGTTGATAAGAAAGAAAAACATAAATCCATAAAGAGCAAGTGGATACACGTAAGTGGGGATGACACTAATGGGAGCAAAGAAGCATGCCAGCAGGCTCAGGCACCACAATATCCCCAAGAATCCAGCAATCTGGTAAAGGGTGGAAGAGACAAAAAGAGAAAAGGCTGTTACTTTAATTTTTGCCACTAGTCAGAAATACATTTAATAAAACAAACGTAAAAGTTATTCATTATTAAGCCAATAGTCCTCTTCAAGTGGAAGATGGATGCTGGTACCACTAAGCCAACTATACAGCCAATGCAAACTACATTCATGAGAGTCTGTTTGGCCTTGATTACCTCAAAGAGATGCTGATGAGACAGATTGCTTCTTGGATTAAGTTCAAAGATGAGCACATGGTTTACTCCAGCCTGTCTCCAACCATACGTGTTGATGCCCAGTAGAAAAAGGAATTCGATCAGAAGAAAGCCACCCCGATATATTCTTATCAAGGGCCATATACTTCTACTTGTTTCAAGTTTAAATACAGCTGAAAGAATATTAATTCAATGGTTAGTTCTAAAATCCAGAATGTCTCCTTTAGGTATCTTTCCATTCTTAATGACATAGTCCTAGCACAAGAAGTTTTTTTCAGAATAAAACCTACACCCATATTATTTCAAAGCCTGATAGCCTTGGCTCTAGGTTCTTTGCTTTCTTCAATCACTAGAATACTTTCCTAAGCGGAGACTTGTAGCATGCTATTCCACTCGTCCCTTCATTCCTGAGGTGACAGAGCGTCATGGGGAAATGACTTAGAAACGTAACACCAGCGGTCAGCTGGGGAAATCCATCATGTCACAACCTTTTTGACTTTGTTTTCTTGACCAGCAGACTACACAAAGTAATACCTACCTCACAGAGTTGCTGTGAAAATGAAAAGAAACAGTACACATGAGAGCCCTATGAAAATTTAAATGTTTCATAAATAATAATTGTTAACATTTATAAACTACTTACTATCCCTAAGTATCATTCTCTGTATTTTTAGATATAATAATAATTCCTTTAATCAAAACAAATGACTCAATGAGTTAAAAAACGATCCCCACTTGATTCACAAGGAAGCCAGAGCACAAAGGTTAAGTAATCTGCTCAGGGTTATTAAGTTAGTCTAAGGCAGAGCCAGGATTTGAACCCAGACAGTTTTGCTCCAAAATTCACACCGCTAAGCACACTCAATTCCACTGCCCACACAAACGTTCAGAATCATGATTCAATAGCTCTCCAATAAAAATGTTCGAACATCTCAGCCTTGAGTATCAGGTTTACAGTTTAGTATCCAAGTCATTTTTCTCTCTACCTCTCTCTTTAACACTGTCTTTCAAATAAATAAAATAAAATCTTTAAAGGAAAACTTCAATGCTTTATAATGTCAAACAGTATTAAGAGATTTGAAAAAAAAATAAGGTAGGAGATAAAATGTTGTATTGGAAGCTATTTTATGTATGATGGCCCATGAAGACTCTAAGGAGATGACATCTGTAGACATCTTAAGGAAGTAGAGCATAAATCATCAGAAAAACTGGAAGAAAAGGATTCTAGGTACAGGGAAAGCATAAAGGGCCCTAAGATAGGTTGGTCCAGGAACAGGAACAGGATGAAGGCCAAGGACACTATGACTGGAATGAACAGGAGGTAAAGTATTGAGTCAGCAATGGCAGATCAAATAGGGGTTTATAGTACTTTGTTAAATTAAGCTTTTATTTTGATGTACAATCTGGCATAAGGTTTTGCACTTAAGTGACATGATTGGATTACTCATTTTAAAGGGTCACTCTAGCTATTATGTGCAGAATAGACTACAAGGTAGCAAATCTGGAAGTAAGACTAGTTAGGATGTTATCAATGGAAAATTAAAGTTCTGTATCTTGATTCCCAAGCAAAAGTCATAGGTACATTACAACATTCAGATAAATATAAATCCCAAACAATCCACAAGAAAACTGTAAGAGTTTGTAAATTCAGTAGAGGCAGAATACAAGGTCAACACTCAAAATTCAGTTGTATTTGTATATACCACCATCCAAAAGAATAAAATACCCTGGAATAACTTTAATCAAGGAAGTGAAAGACTTGTATATTGAAAACTAAAACATATTACAGAAAGCAATTAACAATGACTTAAATATATGCAAAGAAATCTCATGTCAGAGGTTGGAAGATTTGCTACTGTTAAGATGGCAATAACATAAAAAGCAATCCACAAATTTAATGTACTCCAATCAATGCCTTTTTTTAACAGAAATTGAAAATCAATTCTAAAATTACAGGGAATTTAGGAAATTATAAAAAATCTCAAACAGCCAAAACAATGATGAAAAGCCACAAAGTTGGAGAATTCATACTTTGCCGTTTTAAAACTTACTACAAAGCTATATCAATCTAAGTAGTGTGGCACAGGAATATAAACAGATGAATTATATACAGATATATTATATAAATATAATACAGATAAATGGAATGTGACTGAGAATTCAGAGATAAACTCACATATCTACAGTCAATTAGTTTTAAAAAATGTTGAGAAAATTCAGAGAAAAAAAAATTGTCTTCAGCAACTAGAGCTGAGGCAACTGGATAACCACACGCAGAAAGCGAAGCTGGATGCTCTATCTCACATCATATACAAAAATTAGTTCACAACTGGTTGAAAACCTCAATATATGAATTAACATAACAAAACTTAGAAAAACAAGGAGTAAATATTCAAGACCTTGGATTTAGCAATGGGTCCTTAGATATGACAACAAAAATATATACAAAAAAAAAATAGCTAAACTGCACTTCATCAACATTAAAAAATTTTGCATATCAATGAACTATATCAAGAAAGTGAAAAGATAGACTATATGATGGAAGAAAAGAATTGCAAATCATATGACGGCACACCAAAAGGTTCACAGGAAAATGGAATTAAAAGAAACGCTGATTGTGGTGCCAAAAAAGTTTGAAATCCATGCATAATTTACTCACAATTCATTTTTTCCATGAACTTTTTTTAAAAGATTTTTTAATTTATTTATGAGAGAGTTACAGAGAGAGGGGAAGAGACAAGTAGAAAGGTCTTCCATCCACTGGTTCACTCTTCAAATGGCCACAACAGCTGGAGCTGGGCCGATCCAAAGAAAGGAGCCAGGAGCTTCTTTCAGGTCTCTCACGCAGGTGCCGGGGCCCAAGCACTTGGGTCATCTTCCACTGCTTTCCAAGGCCATAGCAGAGGACTGAATCGTTAGAGAAGCAGCCAAGATATGAACCAGTGCCAATATGGGATGTGGGTGCCACAGGTGAAGGCTCAGCCCACCATGCCACAGTGCCAGCCCCTTTTCCAGGATCTTTTTTAAGTACCCTCATATACCTGATAAGGGCCTAGCGTCCAGAATAGGTAAAGAATTCATATAACTTAACAACAGACAACCAGGTGGCTGGAGTTTGGGCACAGTAGGTTAAACTGCCATGCCAGCATCTCATGCAACCGCCCGTTCAAGTCTTAGCTGCTCCACTTCCAATCCAGCTTCCTGGAATACTCCAGGGAAAGCAGTGGAAGATAGCCCAAATACATGAGTCCCTGTCACCCTCTTGGGAGACCAGGATGGAATTTCTGGCTTCTGGTTTCATCTGTCTCATGCTTGGCCATTGCAACCATTTGAGGAGTGAACCAAAAGATGAATGACATCTTTCTCTCCCTCTCTCTCTTATCACTCTTCCTTTCAAATAAATAAAATAAATTTAAAGAAAAAAGACAGGAGCCGGTGCTGTGGAGCAGTGGGTTAAAGCCCTTGCCTGAAGTGCCAGCATCACATATGGGTGCCGGTTCTAGTCCTGGCTGCCCCTCTTCTAATCCAGCTCTCTGCTAAGGCCTGGGAAAGCAGTAGAAGATGGTCCAAGTCCTTGGGCCTCTGCACCCACGTGGGAGACCCAGAGGAAGCTCCTGGCTCCTGGCTTCGGATCGGTGCAGCTCGGCCACTCTGGGGAGTGAACCAGCGGATGGAAGACCTCTCTCTCTGACTCTGCCTCTCCAACTCTTTCAAATAAATAAAATAAATCTTAAAAAAAAAAAAAAAAGACAATCCAATTATAAATGAGCAAAGGACTTGGATAGATATTTGCCCACAAAAAAACATTCAAATGATCAACAAGTAAGTATACAGATGATTAATACGGCCAGTGCCGTGGCTTATTTGGCTAATCCTCCACCCGTGGCGCCAGCACCCAGGTTCTAGTCCCAGTTGAAGCGCCGGGTACTAGTCCCGGTTGCTCCTCTTCCAGGCCAGCTCTCTGCTGTGGCCAGGGGAAGGCAGTGGAGGATGGCCCAAGTTCTTGGGCCCTGCACCTGCATGGGATACCAGGAGAAAGTACCCAGCTCCTGGCTTCAGATTGGCATAGTGCCAGCCATATCGGCCATTAGGGGAGTGAACCAATGGACAGAAGACCTTTCTCTCTGTCTCTCTCTCACTGTCTATAACTCTCTCTCTCTCTAACTCTGCCTGGCCAAAAAAAAAAAAAAGATGATTAATATGATCAGTCAATAGAGAAATGCTAATTCAAACAAGATGTCACCTCATACTCACTTGGATGGATTAAAAAAAAAACTCAAAAAATAACAAGCCTTGAAGAGAATATGCAGAAAATAGAACCCTCAGATTTCTGGTAGAAATGGAAAATACTGCAGCCTCTAGCTTGGCAGTTTCCCAAGAAGTTAAAGAGGTACACAAATCCATGTCAGCAGCACCATTCGTGATAGTCAAAAAGCAGAAACAATCCAAATGTCCATCAATGAATTAACAAATACAAAAATCGTGGTATGCACCTAAAATGGGATATTAGCCATAAAAGAAAGGAGCACTGTCACATGCTATAATATGAATTGACTCTTTTTTTTAAAGATTCATTTATTTGAAAGTCAGAGTTACATTGAGAGAAGGAGAGAGAGAGAGAGGAGAGGAGAGAGGGGAGAGGAGAGAGAGAGAGAAGAGATCATTGTCCACTGGTGCACTCCCCAAATGGCAGCAACTGGGCTGGGCCAGGCTGACACCAGGAGCTTCTTCCAGGTCTCCCATGTGGTTAGCAGGGACCTAAGAGATCACAAAACTCCACAACAACAAAACAAGTAACCCAGTTAAGAAATGGGCAGATATTTTTCAAACAGGTATTTTTCAAAAGAGAAATCCAAATGGCCAAAAGACACATGAAAAAATGTTTAGGATCACTAGCCATCAGGGAGATGCAAATCAAAACCACAATGAGTTTTCACCTCACCCCAGTTAGAATTGCTTTCATACAGAAATCAACAAACAACAAATGATGGTGAGAATGTGGGAAAAAGGTACCCTAACCCACTCTTGGTGGGAATGTTAAATGGTAAAACCACTATGGAAATCAGTTTGGAGATACCTCAGAAATCTGAATACAGATCTACCCTATGACCCAGCCATTCCATTCCTGGGAATTTACCGAAGGGAAATGTAATCAGCATATGAAAGAGTCATC